AAGAGCCAAAAAAAAAAAGAAAAACAAATAAAATGTAAAACCTCATATTCCCCTATTTCAAAACCCAGCAGAATACTACAGTTACCAAGACAGTGTAGCATCATCGCAGTGATAATAGTTACATGCACCACTAAGTGGGCAGGTAGATCAATGGGAGAGAATCCAAAGTCCACTGCCACACTGCCAATTGTTTTTGACCAGGCCACAGTGGGGAAAGAAAAGTCTCTAAACAAATGGGGAAGAAGCAGCAGCTAGCCACACAGAGCAGTGACAGCAGGGGCCGGAGGAATGGCTCCATGGTGAAGAGCACTTGATGCTCTTGCAGGGAGCCTGGGTTCAGTTCTGGGAACCCACATGGCGCCTCACAACCATCTGTAACTCCAGTTCCAGGAAATCTGTTGCCCTCTTTTGGCCTCCAGGGGCACCAGATACACATGTGGTACACATACATACACGTAGGCAAAACACTCATACACATAAAATAAAAATAAATAAATCTTAGCCAGGCATGGTGGCACACTATTTTAATCCCAACACTCAGGAGACAGAGGCATACAGATCTCTGTGAGTTCAAGATCAGCCTACTCTACATAGCAAGTTCCAGGTCAGCCAGGATTACATAGTGAGACCCTGTCTCAAAAGACAATGAATGAATGAATGAATGAACAAATAAATGGGGATGGGGCAGATTCCAAAGAGCTGGGCATGGAGGTACATGCCTATAATCCCAGCACTCAGCAGAGGGGCCAAGAGTTTAATGTCAACCTGGACTACACAGTGAGACCCTGTCTTAAAAATGTACATACATGGGACTGGAGAGATGGCTCAGCGGTTAAGAGCACTGACTGCTCTTGTCAAGGACCCAGGTTTGATTACCAGCACCCACATGGCGGCTATGAACTTTCCTTAACTCCAGTTCCAGGGGAATCCAAAGTCCTCTTCTGAACTCCACGGCATTGTAGGACATGGGTGCACTCACATACACACAGGCAATATGCTCACACATAAAATAAAAATAATAAATAAAATATTTTTAAAATACATACATATAAACACAAGAGCTAAAACTTAGAAGAAAACATCAGCATAAATCCCCAGACATTGGGTTGAATAACAGTTTCTCAGATTCAGTACCAAAAGCAAAATACAAAGGAAAAAAAATGGACTTCACCAAATCAAACTCTTGCATTTCATAAGATACAACGAAGACAGGAAAGCTGAGGGAAGCCCACACTTGTAACCCCAGAACTTGGAGAGCTGAGGCAGGAGGACTCCTGCAAGTTTGAGGCCAGCCTTGGCAGTGGTGTGAGGCCTTATTGGAGACAGAGAAAGGCAGAAAAGACAACACAGAACTGAAAAGTATGTGCAAAAAATATCTACAAAAAGACTTGCATCAGAATATATGCAGTACTCTTTAACTGTGTGTGGTGGTGTAATGTCAGCACTTGGGAGGCAGAGGCAGAAAAATCTGTAGTTCAAGATGATCCTCTGATATATAAGGAGTTTGAAGCTAGCCTGGGCTAAAGACACTGCCTCAAAGAAAACAGGACTCAACACTTCAATAATTAAGAAAGATAATCTTGTTTCCACATAGGCAGAGAATCAGAATAGATACCTCTTAAAACAGGTACCAAAAATGCTCAGCAAGCACAGGACGTGGCGCTCAGCATCATCAGACACTGAAGAAATGCACAGCAAACCACAATGAGGTGCCCTTCACGCCCACTTCAAGAACTATAATCAACAGGACAAACAATAACAAAGGTTGACAAGGAAGTGGGAAAGCCTGGCTCGTGATTGGCACAAAAAAAAAGTGCTGTGGCCACTCCGGAGAACAGCTTGGCAAGGTTACCATATGACCCAGCAACTCAACGCCTAAACACACGTCCAAAAGAAATGACAATCCGTGTCCAACAAAAATGTGGAGACAAACGTTCACGGCAGCATATTTTGGATAAAGTAGAAAATGTCAGGAAACAACAGAAGCCCACAAAGCAAAGCACGGGTGATGTTACCCATCCGCAGAATGAACATTATTCAATGACTGACATGAATGTGGCCAGTACGGGGAAAGTACTTGATGGGCAGCCTGACGACCTGCATTTGGTCCCAGAACCCATAGTGGAAGCAAAGAACTGACCCCCGAAAACTGTCTTCAGACTTCTACAGGCACACACACACACACACACACACACAAATAATAATAATGATGAATTTTAAAGTAATAAAATGAATGAACTATTGATACAAGCTAAAATTTGGCCAAGGCTTACATTAATTGAAAAAAAAAAAAGACAGCCACAGGCAAGCACAATGACCGAACATGTAAAGGCACTCACAACGCCAAACTGACGGCCAGCCTGAGTTCAAGCTCCCACATAAAGGTGAAAGGAAAGAAACCATTCCACAAAGCTGCCCTCTGACCTCTATACATGCACCATGGTGTGCATGCGCCTGCATAAACATATCATCATACACACAGGCATAATAATAATAACAAATTAAATTGAAATTATTTGAAAGATGATGGGGATGGAGAGATGGCTCAGCAGTTAAGAGCACCAACTGCTCCTGCAGAGGACCGGGTTTGATTCCCAGTACCATTAACAACTGTCCTTAACTCCAGTTCCAGGGAATCCAACACCCTCTCTAGCCTCTACAGGCATTGCACGCATGTGATGCACCTACATACAAGCAAAACACTTATACACAAAAAAAGTTTTTTAATCAAAATCAAAAAATATTTTAAGGGGCTGGAGAAATGACTCAGCAGTTAAGAGCATTGGCTGCTCTTGCAGAGGACCAAGATTCTGTTCCCAGCACCCACATGGGGGCTAACAACTGTCCATAACTCCAGTTCCAAGGGAATCTGACGCCCTCTTCTGACCTCTGCGGGCACGGCATGACATGGGCGCACTTACACACATGCAGAAATACATTCATCCACATAAAATAAAAATAATAAAATATTTTTTAATTTTAAGAAGGCAGTCACAAAAGACCACATATTGTGGATTCCACACAGCTTAAATGTCCAGAGTAGAGAAATCTGCAGACAGAAAACACATTATTGGTTGTTCAACGCCTAGCAATGACTGTTACTAGGTACAGTTTTCTTCTGAGGGTGATAAAAATGCTAAAATACATTCTTGGGGAAAATATTTATCACCCAGTTTTTGAGTTGATTATGTTGACAAATCTACAGCCGAGCTTACTAAGAAACATGAAGTCTGGTTGCATTGTCTGAGATGTGAATTCCATCTGAACACAGTTGTTTAAAACAAAACAGACTGCATGTTTCTGTTCTCTTATTTTTATATTCCCATATTTGTCTGACCAAAGAATGAAACTGTTTCTGCCTCCCTCATTCCCTGCTGCCAAAAGATAAGTGCTAAGGAGCTGTGCCCTCTGGACTCGGTTGTATTTCCCAAATAACCTTGGCCAAAGGTCAAAGTCACATTCTGTATAAAGCATTTCTACGACCAAGGAAGACAGCTTTTTATTGATTTGAACTTACAAGATAAACATGAAATAAAATAGCACCCCGCCCTTTCACCGGCCCTGAGGTAACTCGCTAACGCCACGCAGTCTACTTTTCTTGTTCACCGTGATGGGGACACCAACGGCAGAAAGGAGCTGTGTCCGGGTGGCCAACCGGCCTTCTGTTCTGTTTTGAATGCTGTGCTCAAATCAGCTCTAGACATCACAAAAATGATGCCAGGAAGGCAGCCACACGGCAGCAAGTTTTCAAGACCAGTACTTCCCTGCTTCTAGGCTGAGCTGGGAATTTACACCACATTACAAAATGTGCTAATACGCTTGCCCAATGGTATCCAGCCACACGGTATTCACCGGCCTCTCACACACATCTTTATTACACAAATGCATCAGCAAAGCTCCGGAAATTCTCTGACTCAGAAGCTCACCACCCACCACAAAGTTGGTTATCAGTTTCTTCAAGAACACTTGGTCAGGGTGCACTTTTAGCTTTATAAGGATGCCTGCCTGCTTGCAAGACTGGGTAATAAATATTTTCCCCAAGAATGTATTACCAAATTATCTTGAATTCTGAGAAAGGATTCAAGGAAGCTAAACATTTTCCTTCAACATCTGTACATCTGAATGTTCCAGCCACATTTATGTGTGTCCCTTTATTTTACTTATTCATTCATTCCTTCTGAGACAGGGTGTTGCTACATAGCCAAGCTGGCCTTGAACGCATGATCCTTTGCCTCAGTCTCCCATGTGCTGGGTTACAAGTGTGTGCCTCAACGCCTGGC